TCGACGAGATCGCCGATAAACAGCAGAGTAAAGTGGAGAACTTGGCCAAATACGTCCATTTGCAGGAGGTAGGCACATTTCAAATTATTATTTCGGTCAGAAAATATTAACTATTTACACCAAACCAGTGATAATATATTTAAATAAGTACCAATTATGTTTCTATCAAAAAGATTTAGGGAAAAAGGTCATGTAAGTCCACTGCTGTTTATCTGAATTTGCAAGCCACAAATTGACGTTTAACTATGATTATTGCATGGCCATTTTCTTGTGAAATATTAGTGCTAGGCATTTCACACTTACCAATGACCAACCCAATAGTACCATCTCTGAACCATGTAAGCACTTCAGAATAGCCAAAGCTTTTATGGTTTGGTAGATAGCAGTATCGCGAAAACACCGTTTTTGGGTGTGGTCAGTTTCGGACGTTTCGTCCCGGATTGGGGTTCGGGCAGCGTTACCATGTTGACCGTCATGGTCGACTTGCCCTAAAACAGTTGAGATTAACTGTCCTAAATGAAATGCATACAAACTCATATACAGGTCCTAGACTATTGTTAGCAACGCTCAGACCAAGGATTTGAACACTGTCGATCATAGTGGCTGATCATAGCAATAAGCTTTATTATCTTCCACCACGTAATGAAACTGTTAATATGACTCTTAGATCCAGTCATAGATTTAACGTTGCATTTCAAACTATAACCGTTTTAAAATTAGTTTTATTATACATATAATGCATTAACTTATTCGTCGTAAAATTATTAGAATATTCTTAGATCCTTTTGGAGACATTTAGTGTATAGTATTTTAATATTTTCTAATAAATATATTAAGCGTAATTCAGCCTATTGGCTGCAAATGTTTATATGAAATAAACCATCTATAAAATCTTTTATATTTGTGACACAGAACCGTACCGAAACGTACTGGTGAGCATGCGTTGATAAATCCACGTACTTCCGGGTGTACTCGCGTATCAAAATGAAAAGTTCGTCGCAAGTCAACTTTTTGACGTACTACGGAAGTATTAACCAACCAATATTTACAAAATTTTGAAATTTAAAAATGTTTTTGATACGTTTCGGTACGGTACGCTTGAAGTGGAAAACTGGCTTTAGACTTTGCTTTTAAAAGACGCTGCGGATTCGGAAGTCCAGTTTATTCATTTGGACAGACAAACTGGCCAGAAACAATCAGTGAGCTACATATACAGTCAATTCAAAAAAGGTTGCCCTTTGTAAACCTTAAACTGTAAACCTTAAACTGTAAGCGCGCAAAGTTTAATGGAAGCACAAGTGTCAAGCTTAGTAGTTGAATATTTGTGAACGAATTGTTCTTGTAAGGAAATATTTACCATGTCTTTAAGAAATGGGCCCATATATGATTTCTAAACTGATTAAATGATGCTTCAATTATATATATGCTTTGCACGCTTTGAGTTAATTTATAAGGTTTTCAACCTTTATTATTATATTAGCTGTATATTTGGAGCGAGAATTCGAGTCCAAAAAGTGATGCCATCTTCGTGTTAACCGCGCAGACTGAAATAATTTAAATTTAAATACAATTTTTTTAAATAATTAATACCGAAATTAAACAACAGCTAAAAAAACATGTTCATTGAGAATATAAATTGTTCAGAAAAGTTTGCAACGAAAGACAAACGAATTTGCAGTCAACAAGCACTTACTGTATACTACCAAACATCGAATCGTATCTGTATAATATATCTGAGCTTTTCTGTGAGATATACCGGTTCTAAAACCATTTCGTTCACTTCGTCTTCAAGTTGTAAAACAAAAGTATTTCAAATTTTCAAGACATTGTAACAGAGGATAATGAATTATTGCTTCAGTTAATGACTTAATGGCTGTTGGACTATATTATAAAACAATTAAACCATTCGCTCTCAGCTATCAGCTCATATACGACTCGAGCTCATAGCACAATAGTTATAATATATATATATATATATATATATATATATATATATATATATATATATATATATATATATATATATATATATATATATATATATATATATATATATATATATATATATTATATACTCGTTAAATAAAAATTGCCGGTCGAAATCACATTTTTCCACCGTTGGGAATTGAAAATACATTAATTATGCAAAGTCAATCAATCCAAAAGCAACGCGAGCCGGCTGCAAGCTATTTGTTTCGTAAACGTTTGATTACGAATGTTCTCTGTTCAGTGATTAATTGAACCATGTTTCATTACGTTCTAATTATTGTCTCACTAAGACGAAGATTGACGAGTTGTATGAGCTCATTTTATAGATAATTTAACATTCAATATTAATTCCCTCTTGAGTCTTGGGAATTGACTATGTTTCGATTTCCATGCAATTCCCAAAGGTGGAAGATTATACGAATGTTCTCTGTTCAGTGATTAATTGAACCATGTTTCATTACGTTCTTATTGTCTCACTAAGACGAAGATTGACGAGTTGTTCCATATTTTCTGTCATATTCATCCCGTTTTTTTTGTCTCTCAGATTGTCTTTTTTGTCTCTCCGATCGTCTTTTTTCACGTTCTAGCTTCCTTTGAGCTTCTTCTTCTCCGTCGCGTACACTGAAAATAATAACATTAACAAAAGTGACAATAAGGACACTCGACAGTTTCAACGTATTAAAAAAAATTGAAACAGCTAGACCTTAGACTACGTTGACACTATATATATACACTGGAGTGAAATAAACGCTCCAGCGTGGTGTGAACATAACGGCTAATTGTGACTTTTCCGCGTTGTTTTCAAACCGCTCCATAGTGTGAACGTATAGTCTATTATATAAGTGCTTGTTTCTTGCTGTACTTTAAATTAACTGGCATCCATCTCCCCACTTGCATGCGGAGGTGTTTTTAGTTAATCATGCGGGCTAGCTATACCGAGAAAAATAGATATACAGGGTGCATGTATAAAAAAAAACTACACAGTTGGAAAAAGTTCACTAAAGTCAGATGCGCGCGACATTTGCGAAAACTTTCAGTAAGCCGATGTACTTTAATGTTCTCTGGTACATCTAGCACTAAAGTTATTTAAAATGCTAGCGTTTTTAGAGTATAGGAAAGCTGTTACTAAAAACCTCCCAAAAGAGACCTTGCGCAAATTTTTTTTCCCATCGGAAACAAAATTTAATCAAAATATGGACTGTCTGGCACAAGCTATCACCGTTTCAAGAAATTTGTTGCACGCGTAGGCCAACGTGAGTCGTGAAATCTTCAAAACCTGGATTTTCTCCCATTTTGTTAGTTCAAACGCGATTCTTAGCTATAGCATGATTTCAAATTAATTTTATGCATGCGAGCATGCATGTTTGCATAAATTACAATACGAAATTCGCAAGCCAACCCCCAAAGGTCCTAAAAGCGTTTACTCACAAAAACAGTGTTTATTTACAAAATTATTGACATGCAGTGTTTATTTACAAACAAAATCAATCTTCAACATAGGAGGGCACGTTGAAGATTGATTTTGTTTGTAAATAAACATTACATGTCAATAATTTTGTAAATAAACGCAGTTACTATAACTCTTTTAGGACCTTTGGGAATTAGCTTGCGAATTTCGTACTGTAAGTTATGCAAACATCCGAGCATGCATAAAATTAATATGAAATCATGCACAGAAATCGCGTTTGAAGTACTATTTAAAACACGAGAAGGAGTGTTTTATCATATTTAAAACGCGAGGCGCAGCCGAGCGTTTTAGACTATGATAAAACGCGAGTTCGAGTGTTTTGAATAGCTTAAAATACGACTACAAAAGAATACTAATTATAGGATGAACAATTATATAATCATACTAATTAGGATGAAGAATTATATAAAGAATACTAATGAAGATGACTTTTATCAGATATAAAGTCAGTCCACGTGACATATTATGACTGACATGATTTGCCACAAGGTTTATGAATTTTTAATGAGTATTTTAAGTACTATTTAAAATGCTATAGCGTTTATAGAGTAGAAAAGCTGCTACTAAAAAAAAAAGGCCTTGCGCAAAAAAGTTTTCATCAGAAACAAAATGTAATCACACAGAGACAAAATATGGACTGTCTTGCAAAGTTTCAGGAAATTTGGTGCACGCGTAGGCCAACGCGAAATCTTCAAAACCTGGATTTTACTGAAAATCTTCGCAAATATCGCGCATCTGACTTTAGTTAACTTTTTCCAACTGTGTAATTTTTATACTTTTCTCAGTAAAATTTTTGTCTCTAACCAAAATGGTGGATTTATAGGGGCATTAAATCGTCCATATTCGCGCGGTTGCGGGGACTGCGAATTGTTTTTCAACAATGTTTTCCTGTGGAGTTAGAATATGACGTGCCATGCGCCAATGTATTGTCTGGTTCACCAGCTTGTAAAAAATGCCATCTGAAAATTGACCTGTCGTCTAATCACAAAGGCTGTTCACATGCGTAGGTGCGAGGCGACACACAGCATAGTTAAATAGAACAGGTGCATGGTTTGGAAACTCATTAGAATAACAATATAAGTCGTTATCTATGGGCGCTTTCCATTTACACGGCCAGATCGGTTAGAACGGTCAAATTGTTGAATGGAACACAAAACGTTTGTGCTTCGAACCTATCTGACCGGAAAATTTAGATAAAATTAGAATGAGCTCGAGGTCCATTTTCGTTAGATATTTGAGATACATAGACCAGATCTTTAATCCGTTGATAACAGAGACAAAAATTAAGGTTTGCATGATCGGTCAGACCGGTATTAAATGGAAAGCGCCCTATGTTAGTCATGTTAGTCAACGTTTATTCATATAAATATGGTTCTTCACCGTCACGTGTGTAATTGTATTTTTGCCGAATCTACTAATAGCAATTTCCAATTTACCCTATTGTTCGAGTAACGGACACGTAACTTTCCTAAAACATTACTATTGGTTAGTTTGACAAAAATACAATACGCACGTGACGGTTAAGGGACAGATTTATGAATAAACGTTGACTAACATAGACAATGGAGTTAGGTTGTTATTCTAATGAGTTTCCAAACCATCTATACTCTATTAACTATACCCGGCCATAGGCATACTCACGTTTGAGGAAACGGTAGCGGTTGTACATGTTCACCGCTGGATACTGTTGACTGATCACTGTGTTTGCCAATGAATACTCCATCTCGAAAGAAACCATCTCTCCTGTTTACAAAAACCAGTAAAATAGAATTATTTACAAAATGTATGTATTTATTCCGTCCACAGATCATACCACGCGCGGCAATATCACGCAAACAAAGATAAAATATCTAAAGAAATTTTGCAAAATTTGAATATATATATATATATATATATATATATATATATATATATATATATATATATATATATATATATATATATATATATATATATATATATATATATATACTATATATATATATATATATATATATATATATATATATATATATATATATATAAATGTTGTGGTTTCCCACGTTTACGATTCCACTCGTGTAACGTTATGTAGTGGTTTTTGAGTTGTTTTCAGACGAGTGTATACCAAACCGGGCAAGCAGAAAATTCTACTTGAC